GCCCTTTCTCAGAAGAGTTACACCAATGCTACCTCCTCTAAGACATGCTAACTCAACAGATCTATATGAGATATAGACTGGTAATACTTATCATTTTAATTACATTCAAAGAGTATCGGTTATGCCAAGAGAAGACACATTTTTTATTTTATTTATTTATTTATATATTTTTTGAGGCAGAGCCTCAAGCTGTTGCCCTGGGTAGAGTGCAGTGGCATCAGAGCTCACAGCAACCTCCAACTCCTGGGCTCAAGCGAGTCTCCTCCACCTCCCAAGCAGCTGGGATTACAGGTGCCCACCACAACACCTGGCTATTTTTTGGTTGCAGCCATCATTGTTGTTTGGCGGGCCTGGGCTGGATTCGAACCTGCCAGCTCAGGTGTATATGGCTGGTGCCTTAGCCGCTTTAGCCAGAGGTGCCAAGCCAAGACACATTTTTTAAAATTTCAATTTAAAAACAGTTGTTCTCACAGTTAAGTAGAATAGCTCTATATTGAAATTCAATTCTCTTATATCCAAGAAACATCCTCACATATTTTACGAAAGTTTTAAAATTCTAAATTTTTATATTTCCGAATTAGACAAATTAGATTCTCTCATATTTCTGGCATTTTTCAGCAATGCACTATGATCACTAACATCACTCTGCTTATCTGTCGATACGGAAACAGCAACGCCCTGATCCCACATGAAGACCACCCGGGTGCCTTGTGATTGGCTGAACCTCACACAGCTACTAAGAACACACTCTGAAAGCACTGGTAATTCGATTTTTAAAAAGCATGTTTACTGATGATAGATAGCATTTTCTTGTTGCTTCTATTCTCTTAATCTCAACTCAGAAGACTTTGAATGCACATAGACATTAAATCAGAAATCAATGTCCAGTTTTTTCTTTAAAAAAAAAAAAAAAAGACAGAAAACCAAAATTCAATATAAAAAAGTCAAACAAGGAAATCTGGAGATAAACTTACCGATGCTAAATTACTGTTTAATAATGTTTAATAATCATTCTTTATATTTCCCACAGCACTTAACACAGGCTAGCACAATATCCCTAATGACTATCTCAGAAAGCAGGAGAGAGGGAGGGAAGGAAAGCCAGCCGATCAAGAGCGGGCATAAGGGATTAAAGTAGGTACCAAGGGGGGGGGAGGAAGAGTGAACGGGACGCAGTGAATTCCGTTTAAGGAGGAAAACTAAACCAATCTATGCATAATGACGTGTACACAGAAAAAAGACAGAAGCAGAAGGGAAGGCTAAAAACGCTTTCAAAATCAGTCTGTCAGGCAAATACATTTCCAGCCGATGGCTTTGTGTCAACACTCATTATAAGGTAGTTTTAATTTATAGTGAACCTGTGATGTCCTATACTCAGCAGTCCAACTCTACATAGTCGGAGCAGAGGAGTCTGCTCTGAGAGGACTCTCCTTGAGTCTAAGTTTGAGGTTCCACTCTGAATAATCAAACAACGGGGGCATTTTGTCAACTGTTACAAAATTTATGATCGCAGTGCGTATGGCATCTGAAGGAAATACCTCAAAAGCCATAATACAATTAAATTACCCACCCCACCTCACCCTACCCTCCCACCTCAACTCTTTCAGCATAGAGAAAATAAACTTATAAATAAATTCAAAGTCTATATAAATCCACAGTGAGTTCAACTTTCCATAGTGAAGGGGAAATTACATTTCAAGGCTATATTGTCAAGCAGATTTATCTGGCTCTTGTTCCTCTTATTTTGATTCTCAATGCCAAGTAAATTTTACTGCCTAACTTCAAAAACACTTAAAATGTGAGACCAAATGAAAATAATGACCTACTATAGATTAAAGAGCACAATTTAGTCTATTAACTGAATTTTGTTGTTCTAATTCAAACTACAGAATTTCATTTTCCATATACTCAAAACATGAAGTTTGCATTTAACACATACTTTTCACAATGTCAAAGAAAATATTAATTGTATTTTCAAGTCAAAATTTTAAGGTATATTCAACACAGTTTGTCCTCAAGAGCACCTTGTCTAATTGGGTGGACTTGTTCAATATGCCCTATTCAGTCTTGAAAATAAACTAGAGAAATTAATGTTCTGTTAAAACAAACCATGATCGGCTCGGCGCCTATAGCTCAACAGGCTAAGGCGCCAGCCACGTACACCTAAGGTGGCGGGTTTGAGTCCCCAGCCCGGACCCGCCAAACAACAATGACGGCTGCAACCAAAAAATGGCCAG